CCTCCCTCCCCCCACAACACACACGTAGACCTCCAATATTGGAGGGAAGGAAGGAGAAGCAGCATCTAAGTCTCTTCCTCACTACAGCTCCCTCTGGAACTGTGGAGGTTAGGAAGCAAGTAATTAACTAATTGTGTAATCAACATAATTTCTATCAACTACACAATTAGCTGATAAGGGAGGAAGCCTCAGTCCTGGCTCAAACCAGGTCCAGGACCTACCCATCCCTCTCCCCCACTGCTGCTCTGCAGTTTAAATGTACTAAGAGCCAGGCAGGCAGGTAACCCAACTCCTACTACATTTAAATTACAGAGCTGCAGCAGGGGTAGGTCTCAGACCCAGCGTGAGCTGCAACTGAGCCAGGTCCAGCAGCCCCTGTCCGTGGGGGTCCCAGTTCCCCACCTAGGCTCATGGGGCAGTTGACTACTCGCTCACATCCCTATCCAGAACAAGACCATGCTGAGAGCCAAGAGAGAAATGCCACTGGGAAGAATTTTCCACCCAACAGGATCCTAGGCAGCCTAGATATAAGTCAAGAAAGGGACATCTTTCAAAAAGATGTCATTGTCCACAAGGTGGCTGATGGGTGTCAAGTGCAGGATAGCTCAACAGGCAACCCAGGCCTGAACACTCTTCTTCCTACTGCTTTGATTTGTCAAGAGAGAAAGGGAGGAGAGATGGGCCTGCAACCAGGCCCTCTCCCCCAAAACAGAAAATTCACCATTGCCAGACTCAAGGGAGAAGTCTTGGGACAGACTCACAAGCCCCCTCTCCCTCTCTCTTACTTCGTAATTGAAGGGCTACTAAGAGGGAGTCTCAGTATAGATCTGCCCTACACATCCCAGCGTATCCCAGCTTCCTCTTACTGTGGGATCTGGATATGAAAGGCTCTGTATTCCACAACCAACCCTCTGAGCCCTCCAGTACCTTCTAGGGATGCTAAAATGCGGGTATTCAACTAATCAAGTAGTAGATGGAACTTGTATTGACTATTGATTAGTCGATAAGCAGCCCAGCTCACTTCCGGCTCGTGCAGAGTGCAGTACCAAACCCTACTGTGGCTCTGCAATTTAAAACTCAGTAGCAGCCATACAGCCTGCCCCCTGGCTCCTCCAGCATTTTCAATTGCAGAGCTGCAGCAGGGTTTTGTCCCTCACCCAACACGAACCGGAACTGAGCTGGGCTGCCTGCCCAACTGGCAGCAGTCCCTGTGCATGGGGGGGGACGGACAACGGGGATCTGGGACCTCCTGTGCACAGGGACTGCTGCCACAAAGCAGCCGCTACCCACGGCCGGGTCGCTGCGGACAGGGGCGGCTTCACAGCAGCAGACACTGCACCTCCTTCTCCCCACCCATAGAGGTAGCGGTGGGCGGGCAACACTGCAGAAACATTGCTGGGAGGAACCAACTCCTCCTCTAATACAGAGGCGGTGGGGGGGGGAGGGAGGGAGTAGTTGACTACTCTTTTACATCCCATGCTAAACAATTCAAGGGCCCAATCCTGTCAGACTTATGAAAGTAATAACATGGAAGTAACTGGAACCATTTGCAGCATTAAGGGTTGCAGTATTAGGCCTCAAATTCTAATTTCATACCCCTAACAATCCTGGATTTAAGTTTGGTGCAGTATTTTGACAATTTCAAAAACAATGCCAACTATTTTTATTTGTGTTCCTGTACTGCCACCTAATGGATGAAAGTTACAAGAAGGCAAAGCAAAGTACTGAATTTGTCTATAACCGCAGAAAAAAGCAGCAGTTATTTTACAAATGCAAAATGCCCTGCCTTAGGCAAACACTAGACAAGATATTTATTGTTTAAAAATATAACGTAAAGCCCACAAAACACATTTCTATTCTAAGTATATGTTTTTAAATTATGTATGCAAGCTTTATTTCTACAACTTTGAAACAAAGAACTAAAACATTGTACTTATATAATATACATGCACATGTTGTTATATGTTAAGTACTGAAGTTTTCTTAAAACTAAGTTAGTTAATAATATTTAACAAGTTAAAAAAGGTCTGCAAGACAATTTTAATGAATAATATCACTCCTGGTAGGAAGAGAAATCCTGAAAAAAATTATTGAAACAAAAGACAAGATTGTGCAGAACTTTAAAGACTAACAAGATGGTTTATTAGGTGATGAGCTGTCATGGACCAGCCCCACTTCCTCAGATCAATTTGTGGAAAAAAATTGGCACAACCATATATACCAAAGTGAAACAATCAAAAAAAGTGAACACTCACTTTTTTTCCACTTTTTTTTTTTTAATTGTGTCACTTTGGTATATATGGTCATGCCAATTTTCTTCCACAAACTGATCTGAGGAAGTGGGTCTGGCCCACGAAAGCTCATCACCTAATAAACCATCTTGTTAGTCTTTAAAGTGCTGCATAGTCCTGTCTTTTGTTCCAGCTAGACCAGACTAACACACCTGCATCTCTATCACTGAAAAAATTATTGACTTTAGGGGAAAAAAAGTACGTTTCCGTGGGGTAAAATCTGTAATAACTTGATCATGTATCTGTGTTATGTTACCAAAAACAGATATGCCAAACATATCTTTGGAACTGGATGAAAACAAACAAACAAGAATTTTTTTTAAAAAAGAAACCAGTTAGCAGAGGGTACTTGTTTATAAACTCTGTTTAATCCCACTCCATCCTTAAATTCATTCTCAATCCAAAGATCTGCCATTTGAAGCAAAAACTAAATACTATCAGTCCTGAATATTCCAAAGTTGAGAGATGCAATCCATAAGTGCAAACCCAAAGAGTTCAAAAATTCTGAGCCAGATTTCTAAGCTATCAGGTTACCTAAAATAATAAGATTTGCAAAATAATTAATGTGTATTAATTGACAGCCCTATTATTTATGTCTGTGATTAACACAGGGCAGAATTAACATGTTAAAAAATTTAACACGAGTTAATCTAGGGTTTTTCCCGGACATGTCCCCATTTTCACTTGTTAAATCTCCATCTGTCCAGCTTTTTTAAATGGCAAAAAATATCCGGACTTTTGCCCTGCAAAGGGGATCAGGGAGGGGGAGGCAGCATGTGCCTGTCAAATGGAACGTTCGGAGCCATGTGCCCGGACCGCTCATGGCCGCTCTGTACACGCACCTCAGCGCCTGGAGGAAAAAGCACATGGCTGTGGTGGCAACAGCTCCAGTGAGACCCAGGGCAGGTCCAATGCGTGAGGGGGGTGGAGTTGACTTCTCCCACCGAGTAACCGCGTTAATCTAGTGGGGCAGAGGGTATGTCCCCAGTTCTGGGGGAGGGCAGGGGCACTGGGTTAGAGCAGGGAAGCTGGGGGTGCCTGGCTCTGCAGCAGGGGTGAGAGCATTGGGCTGGAGCAGGAGGGGTTGAATTCTTATTATGATTTAACAGTGCATTAATCATGATAAATTTTTTAACTGTGCAATTAATCGCGATAAATTTTTTGAATCACTTGACAGCCCTAAATTAAATAATAATAAAAGTAACCCATAATTATTACTTTCCAGTTTGTGAACTCTTGGGCTGTTTCTGAGTTACACTTTAAAGCTTTCCTTTGCAACCATGAAGTCTAGAAATATTTTCTTCTATTATAGCTAAGATTCTCAGGTAATCACATTAATATAAGAAGTGGGCTATAAGAAAAACACCAAATATCAGAAGATTTGTGCTAAAAGATCATAAGAGTTGGCAACCCTGCATTATAAGGAAGGTAGTGTAGTATAGCAGATATAACACTGGACTAGGAATTTAAGAAACATTCATTCTATTTCTGGCTCTGCCTCTGAATCCTAGCTGACCTTGGGGGAAGTCACTCCTGAGCCCCCATGTCTCTGTGTCCCCAAGATGGGACTGGACAACCAGATCATGCAATAAATTGCCTTGTTCCATTCATTCCTTCTCTAGCACATGGAACCAACTACTGTCAGAAGGGATGCTGAACTACCATTCATCTTATGTTCTTATCACATTCTTAAAGATGAGGCATCACACAGATGCTTTTTATTGTCTATCAACAATCATTTCAGGAATTAAAAAATTGACAAGTAGATAATGATTGCCTCTGATACAGAGGCAGCAGCGCAGGGAGCTCCCTGGGAGTGAGGCTGGGAGCACACTGGCTGCCAGCCTTCCCCCATGGACTACTGATTAGGCATGTAACTGCTAAGATTTCATGAGGTCATATGACTATTCAATTAACCAATAGTTAACATCCCTCCTCAGAACCTCATTTTAATGGGGTCACCAGTGCTGCTATCAGATTTGCTGAGGCCCAGGGCCAAAGCTGATGTCGGAAGGTTTCAGCCCTGGACTGCAAGGCTTAGGTTGCATGAGTAGGACTGTAGTCTGTGGGCTTCAGATTTGGACCCCAGCTCTAGACAGAGGGGCTGAGGCAGACTCAGGTTTCAGTCCCTCTCCTGGGGTCAGATAGTAATTTTTGTTGTCAGAAGAGGGCTGCTGTGCAATGAAGTTTGAGAACGACTGCATTAATGTATTAGGTATTTTCACTAAAGATGTAACTTCTATTTCTATAGTCTTATTTTCATTACCTTTGATGGAAATAATTTCACAATGAAAGTGAAGGGACATACCATCTGTGTGCATCATAAAATAGCTTGAGATTAAACGCAGGGTCATTTGAGAGATATGGTTATAAATTGGCTTGGCAGCATCAGATTGTCTGTAACTGTTGATAAATATTGATTTCCAACTCTCACACAAAACTATTTCCAGCCATTTCAGTTTACAAATAAGCGAAGTGAAAACGCTACTCGAGTTTGTGTATGTTTACACATGATGCTGACAATTGGGGTTTCCACAATCATCTATCTTCCACTTTTTGAATGCAAACATCTGTCATTAATTCCCTATTCTCTGCCCCCTAACTTCCCATATATGCTGATATGAAAGTAAGAGGGTGTCCCCAGGTGCAGCAGCTACAGCGAGAACTAGCTGAGTTGCAGCAAAAACCAGCAGAGAGCTACTTACTTACTTCAAGAGCTGGCACAGAGCCGGGTTCTTGCAAGAGGATAGTACCCCTAAGAAATGTTAAGTTACTTTCACCGCTGCATGATTATTTAAACTGAAATTGCATGAAAGCACAGTGGTGGGTCCAATAACTAAAAAGTATCCAATTCTGCCAAGCGTAGACATAAACGCTCCTCCTCCCTCGCCTTAGCACCGCTCCCCCTCCTAGCACCGGTCAAGCCAGGCTGAGTGCCCGGCGCTGCATACACGCGCCTAGGGGCCAGGACCCGGGCTGGGCTCCGGGCTGCAGCCAGGGCGGCGGGGCGGCGCCTTCGTCCCACACGCGTGGCGGGGACTGGGGGAGGGGAGCAGGGAAGGGCCGTGGCGCGGTCAGGCGCCGCGTGGGCGGGCCGGGCTGGGGGCGGGTGGGTGTGTTTGCGGGAAGCCCTCCCCGCGGGGGGAGGGGGCGGCAG